AACAACATCAACAACCCAGGGACTAGGGTTTCCAACTAGGAAACCAGTAACATCTAAATCCATACAATCAACTAGGATTCATCCAACATAGGATATTAAGTCATGAAACGCTCCTTCTACCTTTAATGATGACGTGAGATAATACCAATGCTTTGACACGTGCTATTAAAGAAAAAAGACAGAGGTCCTATTTTCCTATTTAACATCATTCAGAAATAGTCCCGTCATCTCTCTAACCATTAAACCTCTTGTTTTAAAAAACTGCATATGATAATGTCCCTGGCTTTGTTAAATGGTTTTTAAAAAAGGTTGACAGCCACTCTTTCAATAACTGAAACCATTCATAAATAGTCACATTTCTCTGATTATAAAACATGTGATAATGTCTCTGCCTTGTTAAATAGTTTTTTAAAAAGTTTTTTAAAGATTTCCATAGTCATTTTTCCCCCCAAACTTGAGGCAACAGGTTTTGTAAGTACTTGACTTGACAACTGAGAGAAATTGCCCCGTTAGAGCTGGAGGAGAAGGCGTGAGTAGATCTTAACTTTGTGGCAGAAAACGTCAGTCTTCTTTAGAGAAGGAATCAAACTCGACTGCTCCACAATGCTACAGTCACAAAGCCTGGCAGGCAGTGCAGAGGCAGACAAAACCACCCAGAGAAAGAGTCCTTCGGTAAAAATGGGCAGAGAGATGTCACAGATAACGGGATGAGCAGATAGTGATCTCATACCAGAGGTTTTCAACATACAGAGGCCCAAGGGAGAGACTGTCAAAATAGAAAAGAAAACAGAAAATAAATAATAATTAAAAAAGAAAACAAGAAATAAAGACAAAACTCTTATGTTTTCTATAAGAACTATTTTAAATATAAATACAGAGTGCGTGGGGGAAGAACGAGTGCCCACTGAATAGTTTTCATCTTGTCTAGATGGGTCTGGTGAAAAGAGATGGGGATAAGATTCTTATGATTCAATAGCGAGTAATTGTTATCACGACTAATTGCAACTATCACAACTGTAAAGGTAGCAGTTTTATAACAAAAAGGGGGGAGGTAGTTAATCATGCACTCAAAATGTATTGATCATTACTGGTGATTGGAATGCGAAGGTTGGAAACAAAGAGGGAAGGATCAGGAGTTGGAAAATATGGCCGAGCATACGTCAAGAACAGACCACTAGATTTGATAAGACTGAATTACTATTATTGGGGATAAATGGGAATATTTTATGTGATGATTAGTTGGTTATGTGCCGTGGAGTCAGTTCCCACTCACAGTGACCCTGCATAGGGTTACCGAGGTTATAAATCTTTACGGGAGCAGAAACCTCATCTTTCTCCTGTGGGAACAGCTGGTAGTTTTGAACTGCTGATCTCGAGGTTAGCAGCCCTACTCGTAACCACTACGGTGCCAGAGTGCCTTTTCCTGTGGTAACTAGGTAAACACTTATGTTGTTCGGTGCTATGGGTTCCAATTCAGAGTGACCCTATGCAGAAGAGAAAGAAACAATGCCAGATCCTGCCCCAGGCTCGCCATCATTGCTACGCTTGAACCCATTGCTGCTGCCACTGTGCCAATCCATCTCACTGGGGGTCTTCCTCTTTTTTCCAACCCTCCACCTTACCAAACATGATAGACTTCTCCAGCGACTAGTCCCTCCTCATAATAGCTGTGAAGTATGAGAGGAAAAGTCTCGTTACACTGGCTTCTATGGAACATTCTGGCTATACTTCTTCCTACACTGATTTGTTTGTTATTCTGGAAGTCCATGGTACTTTTAATATTCTTTTCCAACACAGTAACTGAAGTGCATCAATTATAGTAATTCTAAATGTGTGCACATCAAAATACCGAGTGCATAAAATGAATAGAACTGAATGGAGAAATAGACAAGTGTCGAGGGAGATTTCAAAACTCCACTTTCAGTAATTGACAGAGCAAGCAGACAGTAAATAAGTAAGACTAAATACGACCATTATCAACAAGAAAGCCATTAGCCCTAATGAATGAACTTGGCAAGATGGCAGGGTAGAAGCCAACACCAAAGAATCAGCTGGCTTTCTATACATTAGTAATGAGCCCGTGACAAAGAAAAGGAAGGAAGCGTTACTGTTTAAAGTATCCACTGAAAGACTAATGTACCTAGGAACAAATTTAACCAGGAAAGTGACAGACTTCTTACACAAGAAACTGTAAAACATTACTAAAAGACATTACAGAAGGCCTAAACAAATCGGG